AAATTTGTATATCTCAGAATTTCGGAAAAGTCCCTAGTTTTCGAGAAAATCGAGATTTTCTATTTTTGTAGTTCCAACTTTCGCCGCTAGATGGACGGCAATTTTTTAGTCCATGAAATGGGCTATTTTTCTATTTTCCTTAATAATTGTCCTAGCAGGCTATAATTACATTCGTTCGATTCCGTAGGCGACAAGGAAAAATTTGTATATCTCAGAATCTCGGAAAAGTCCCTAGTTTTCGAGAAAATCGAGATTTTAGTTTTTCGTAGTTCCGCCGCTCGCCGCTAGATGGCGCTACCTGTACCGTTTTGGACCGAATTCGACAAAAATTGATTTCCTGGCTTTATTAGGCATCAAAACGCATCAAACCCTAATAGAAATTTGTTTCTAAATGCCTCAGGAACCATACTACGTCGCCAAAGTGCCGAAATATTGCACTTTGCATGCGCACTAGAATTGACATAGGCGGCTCATGTACGTATCGCAATGCTGATACAAATTAATTAATTAGTCATTACCCGAACATTATTTATGAACTTTTATGATCAAACCATATAAATAATGCATTGCTGACCATTCTTCAATCATAAAAGTGCACAAAATATATCCACAAAACGTGTAATTAATTATTCAAAATGACCTCGTGTATACCGCTTGTCACCGTGGCCGGCCTTAGGTTATTAGTTAATAACTAATTAATTTCATTAAAAATCTGAACGAATACGATATGAAAAAGTAGCTGAGAGAAAGTAGCTCCGCGCATGCCACAGAGGAATAATCACCGAAAATCCATATCCCCGTAGACTTTAATGCAAAATTGAATTTGCTCGCGCTTATGTACTTGACTTTTCAACTTTTTTGTCTACGTTTTTCTCTTGCACCACTCAGCCAATTCAACCGGATGACACGGTTGACTATTTTTGCTTTAGCGTGAAATTTACTCGCTCGCTCAATATAGGTAGGTTTGGCGCGGAGCGCCTCAATCAAACAAACCTAGTTATAAAATAAATACCATTTAATCATATACAAAAATTTTTGGTAAATATATCTTATCCAACAAGAAAACTTAACATCATTCATAATTTTGTACTTGATACCAGTGATGTATTAAGAGCAAAGCTACTGTATACTAAAAAATCAATGGCTTTCACGTAATTAGCTGATGAAATAAATATCATATAGCAGTTAATAAAATTGATATCATATAGCATTGTGCATGTACATACATATGTTTTGTATACAAGTAATCATATTTCCTAAAAATTTAGTACATTTATAATCACAAATGTTCAATGGAATGTTATGTTACTAAATGTTCTACTTTATTTTAATTATGGTACATATTTATCATATACCTTAATTTTTTAAGTACAATTCAATGTTTAATAGAACATGAAAAGTTATGTCACATACAAAATTTGTAATTACTACGAATGTCTTCGTAGTTTTTAATCACTATTCAATCATTGCTTACATTTTTATTATCAAGTACAGAAATTTAATTGAAACATTTTATCAACTATATAACTTCCCTGACAAAAACCCTGTTCATTCAAATTATATAAATTCCCAAATATTGCAATTAAGATCTATGTTTTTCTTTTGATAAAAGTGGAATTGATTTAAGTTTAATATTTTGTAATAAATTATATGAACCATATGTACAAAATTTATGTGATACAAATGGTATATAGAATGCTCTAAAAAATTGATGAGATCTGTAATGTAAATCATGAATTAAATAAAATAATACAACAAAAAACATTATTTTTTATGTGTAATACACTCACTTGGCAGAATTTAAAAATTTAGCAGACTTGATTATTGTAAAATTGTCAGTTAATCGAGAATAATTTGGTTCCAAGTCTGTTTCATTATCAATATCCAAGTCTAACACAAAATGGCATTTATTTATATTAAACTGAAATTATAATAAATATTATTAATGGTATCAAATAATGAGTAGTTATAAATTTTAATACTAATTATTTTTATATATCTGCATTATGCATTATGAACAGTAACTTACATAGCGTGTTGGTTCTTCTTTATTCATATCATTAAAATGTGGTTGTATTACACTAGTTGCATTTTCATGATCTAGGAAAGGTTGTGGTAATTGTCCTTTAAATTCTGACTTTAAGTACTGAAGTTTCCAACTAAACATAATATCATTATAATAATTTTAGAGAAACATAAAACATGAATTCCGAAATGATAAAAAGGTGCAACTTACTTATTTGATGGGAAGAAAAAGCTACTTGGAAATCGGTGCCACTCCTTCCCAACACAGAAATTTATATAAACATCTTTAGGTATTTCTCCCTCTAATCCAAGTTTATTAGCATCAATCATTACTTCCATTGGTGCATAATAACCTGATTTTAAGGAAAGCGGTAAATTTTTAATTAATCGATGCAAAAATAAAAATCTATATCAATCTTCATACCTTTATATAATGCTAATGATCTCGATATACCAAGAAAACCACATAATAAGATAGCAAACAATGTAATGTGAGCAGTATATTGTAAATAATGGTAAGCAATATGTAAGGGACTAAGTTTTGTTCTGACAAAAAAATATAACTTTTGAATAATATCCACTGCTATGGCTCCAGCCACACAAATCATTGGATAAACTGGAAATAAAAATCGTTCTTCCTACAACAAAAATATTCGTTAGATATGTACATATATATTTCGCCCTATTCTCGATATTCAAATAATTTTCATTTAATTCACCTTATGAGGCTGTAAGAAAAATACAAAAAGCCAAAGATACAGTGGTGCCAAAGAATACCAATAAGACAAACAAAGACGATCTCTTGGCCTTGCCGGTACAATCAACCATACTATAAACTATAAAATTTGTTGAAGTACTAACAATTATGAACATTTAAAAATTGTGAATATGTGGAATATTACCAATCCAAATGGAGCACAAAGTGCACACAGGAAAATGAAATTGAAGTTTAAAAATCCATTATAAATATAATAACTGAATGGCTCAATTCCATAAATATTTGGTCCATGATTAGTAAATACATTGTAAGTTATAATATTCAATGGTGCTATTACCAATTTACCATAATACACTGAATCAATCCATACTATTGGTATTAAAACAACAACACCAGATATGATTACCCACTTTATAAATTGACTCCATTCTTGTTTGTGTACTAACATTTCTATTGCAATTGGTAATCTACAAATACAAGAAAATTAACAGTATTGTTAGGTGTGAATTTTTTAAATATATGTAAGTTATACCCAAGTAATGCAGCAAATGGCCATCCTAACAAGGCAGATATAGCAGTAGCAAAAATGGCTAACTCATATTGACGACCATACCAGGCTGCTGTAGCCACAGTACTTAAATACCTGTTCAAAAGATATGTACAATACTGATGTGAAGGATCATTAATTTAATTATTAATGAACAATCTGTAAACATACATTGAAAAAGAAGATGGTAAAAATGCAGCACTAGCAATATACATGCCAGAGCTTAGAATTAGAAATACTAATGTTAGTCTGCCTATATGAATTCCAAATTCTCTGCATACATTTCTAAAACAAAACTTGGTCATTGCTTCAAGAAAACATTAATTATTATTATATGTTATCTGTAATAAATTTTTGCAGATACATACTTATAAAAGTATACCTCAGATAATGCACAACCCACAGATAATAGACATCTTACAAAATAGAAGACCAGAACAGGATTAGGTTCTAATAAATAATGATAGAGTTTTGCTGGTACCATATGAATTAATAAATACATGTACGATCTTAATGCATATTGTGGACTATATTCCCATGTTTGTTGACCAGTACCATAAAGTAAATAATGACTCTAAAGCAAGAGAAAAATATGATAATAAAAAGCACAGTATTCTTAAAAAATAAATACCTCATTTATTAAAAGAAAATTATATAATACAAATATATAAACTTATATAAATCATTAAAAATCACAATATAAAATTTAAGAATTATCTCTTACTGGTTCCCAATAATTATAGGTTTCATCGCAATCTGTTATGTGACTCCATATAGCTGAACAAAATCTGGCTGATAAAAGTAACTTAAAAGCTGTATCCACACCAGGATAAATAAGACCCGTACCAGAGGATTCTTCTGGCCTGAAACACATATGCTTGATTTTCTTCTTGGTTGATATATATCTACATTATTTTTTAATTGTTACTTTCATTTTTAATTATTTCAAACAATAGCACTTATCAATTACACATTAAATACATAAGTAAAATAAAGTCGTCAAAGATTTTACAAACTAACATATTGAAAATCTTAAAATTTTTCAGTCTAAAAAGGTTAACCGGCATGCAATATGTTCATATTTTATTAAATATAATATGACAACAAATTTCCCATTCAATGATTATTAATGAAGGAAACTATTTTCTTTACTTTGAAAATCTCCTGCCATTTAACTTTTTCAGTTCTTTCTTTGAAATAAAAAGCTGACGTTGACGTTGATTCGGCGCCATAGTTTTTCTCTATTCTATGTCAATATAAGCATGTATTATGCATATGTATTCATTTAGAGAGGATGCATATTTATATTCAAAACACACAAGTTCCATAGCTTTTATTTCTATGGCAACGAAATTAATTAAAAATGGATATCGAACCCAAATACACGTTTGTGCCTCTTGAGCAAAAGAATTATTTGGGAATTAATGACAAAATAATTCAGGAACTTCTCTTAAAGTGGTAATTTATGTGCTTGATAAATTATATATAAAAATTAACACAACGTACAAGAATGTTATTTTACAGGGGAATAAAAGGAAATTTTGTTATACAACATTTTTCATTTAATGAACCTTTTCAACAATATCACAAATATCATTTAGCTGAAGTTAGTTAAATTGATCTTAGTACTTTTAAATACAATTTAAAATTGTAACATTAATGTATTATTATGTGATTATCTTAGGCTTTCTTTAAGGACAGTACTGTTTCAAAGCTATTATTAACAAGAAAAGGGAATTGTTGGGTAAAAGAAGGTATTGAACATATTTTTTTATAAGATAGTAATTGGGTTTAATTAATTTTTTTAATAATTTGTAGGTATAACAGCAACAACAATAGAAATAAAACCTGTGCCTTGCAGTGTTTTGAATATGTCCTTTTTCAATAAATTAAAAGATTCAGAAAATGGAATTACATATGACTCTGGGACTATTTGCAAAAGATATGATATGGAAATTGATGGTTTTCTAGTTTCTGATAATCTTAGAGGAGTATGCATTTTTTTCATGGGACATTAGTAATATAATTTTAATTTTAACTTAATATTTGTAGATATTATTGGATGAAGAATGTCCACAGTATAATTTATATTTGAAAGATGAGAGAGAAGAATTTATATTTCGTATTTTCCAACTGCTAGTTCTTGGTGGAGTATTATGTCAATATGAAGATGTTTTAGATCCATATTTGAAAGTTACTAAAACTATTTATAAGGATTTAATCAGGTTGTATTCTCATAAATGTTTTCTCTTTGTAATTCAAGAAACTGATATGTATTTAATTATTTTTAGAGTGGGAAAAGGAAAAGACTCAGATTTGTCAATCAGTACCCTAGTCCTGGAAATAGTAGCCAAAGATAAAAGAGGACAAGCATATTTTCCATGTGATCCATTTCACATACAAAATGTTGGATTTTTACTAATAGATAGCGTTACTCGTGAAATTACAACCTTCTTACATCAGTTTGGAGAATATTGTATTTCCGAATAAATATTATACGCGGAAATATATATTTTCCAATAAAATAATATTTATTATATAAACATTATGTACCACAATTATGAATTTATTACATTATATTGTGCATTATGTACATCATACGTTCATTATATATTTTACATTAGTCAACTTGTTACAAATATAATATTTAAAAATGTTTAATTGTAAATAGTTGAAGATATCATCCTAAAGATGCAATGTATGTATAACCTACGAGATATGTATAACCTGTGAGACTATTAATAAAAAATAGGAGATTTTGATTATACTATCTATTACCCTTTGGTATATTGTAACAAACTTGTGGCAAAAAATAGTTTATAATGATTAACTGACACTGTATACAACGTATAAATAATTCAAATATATTGTTGTGTATACTATGTTACGATCTTATTTATATATACAAATATGATTATTTCTCAGTACGTTTGCCATTTAAACTCGGTAATACCTCATTTCTTAGACATTTCTAGAGCCCCGAAAAGAAGAAATTGTCGAACGACTATTGTATTTTGTAAAGAATATTGACTATCACAATCAAATTAGAACTAATACACTTATAAATACTGTCCATAAAATAAAATTATTATGTTTATTAATTAAATGAAATTATATACCCTGCCCAGTTTATATTTATAAAGACTAGAAATGAACGTAGCTTGTAAATATAAACAATAGAACATAATACTAATTACAGCACCTTTTTTTATGAACGTTGCAATCTGTTATACTTGTTACCTATGTGTTATTCTTAATGTACGTTAAAATCATTAAAGATTAATTCGTTAATCCTTGCAGTAACAATACTTTCGTAAATGATGCAAAGAATTTTCCACACATCTTGCTTGAGATCCATACATGTTAATTCTACTGACATCTGATATCTGAAATTTAAGTTTTGTACGTTGTTATTTAATATGTATTCTATGAATATTTTTATCAATAATTTTGTTTAATCGTCATAATTTTGATAAAAAACTTACTTTAGTGGAAAACTTATTCTTTTTTATATCATAAGTAATGCTAACTTCAAATAATCCATCTCCTGGTTCAGTTTTTACTTTCAATTGATAAATTTCACTTGTTAATTTTGTTTGTGCACTAAAATCTCCTATGAAACCATCTTGATCGCCAGACTTTTGAAATTTTAATAAACCTATAATTCATTACTTTATTAAAATTAAATAAATATATATAATATTAATAGAAATAATTAAAATACCTTTATTAGGTATAAGTTTAGCAGCCCATAAAATTTCTTTCAATTGTAGTTGTTCACAAATATCACGATGATCGTCCGTGTATAGATTAAGGAACTGAATAAAATATCTAGCTGCAGCGATTACGTTATCTTCATCGACAGAGATTTCTTGCCAGCTAAGGCAAGCACACCAATGTGGCTCTATAAATGCATCCGCACACGTTCTATCTAAAGGTACCTATATGATAATAATATATAATAATTTATAATATATGTATAATGATTGGTTCTATTGTTACACGTATAATGCAATTACCTTATCAAATAAACTAATAGCTCTATGTTGGCGACTCCCGGTTTTCGGTGTTTCAAAGTTCAGTATGCTTTCTAACGTTTTATGCACATCAAATGGCGTTGTTAAATACTGCGTATTATGTAGAAAGTTTGCATATGCTTCTGGGTACACTTTTTTGAACCAAGGAGGAAAAACGAAAGAAAAGAACGGTAATCTTTCTTCTTGTTTACCTTGTACAGTATTACGAATATCTGCAAATCTTCAGATAAAAATTTACTGTATCAATTGTTTAATTAAGAGATAACTTTATTGAAAAATTTAATTTTGTGTTAAACATAATTACAAACCTATGTCCATGATCGCTCATTAATATAAGTATCGTGTTATTCAAATGACCGAATTCGTGCAAATCTTTTACCCAGTTATGCAAATCGTCGTCAACCACACCTATGTCATTGTAGGAATCATGTGAAAGTTCACCATGAAAGCCAAATAAAAATTTTGGCTGATTTTTGTAAACATTAAAAATTTCTTTAATATAATTCATCATTACCTGTAACAATATGAATTTGCATTATAATTTCTAAATGTAACATAATTATTGACATTAAATACTAAAAGAGTACCATATGTCTTGGGATGCTTCCAATACAATATTTATTATAATATCTAAAATATGGAGCTGCAGCTAAGTAAAATGTTCTCATGTAATGGTTAGTTGGTTGTTCTTTAAAACCTTTTAAACGATATGTAAAAGTTCCAATATGATGCACATCTTCCATAAATCCTGTTATATATCCATTTTGTTTATACTGATTCCATATCATTGGATATACATTAACATAATTTGCTTTTGCACCCATGCGCTTTCTAGTATCTGGTAATTCAAGTTCAATTTTTCCAGTAAGAATAGGAATAAGTGCTTGCGGTGTTCCATCACCTACTATATTGTATCCCTCTAAGACTAAAGCACTTAAATATTCTCTTAAATATTGATATGTTTTTGGTAATTTCCGTATAAACGTGTTTCTGGACAAAGAATCAAAACCAAACATAAGTACATTTAATTTTAGAGCCTTGTTTCCAACATTTTCCCATCTGTGTCTTTCTTTCGCTTCAGGATCATCCTTTACTCCAGCCATAATAGAATGCCATCTGAAAAATAGATAGATATATTAGACTAGAAATTTCAACTAACCGATTAAATACGTGCTTTCATTAATCCCAACTTACTCTGTCCCATCTTTTGATTCGCATTTAACATCAACAAAATCACTATGTTTGAGAACATAAGAGTTATCAGATTCAACAGGAGTTGTATATGATACCTCGTTGTCATTGTCTCTAAGGATTTCTGCAAGCGATATAAGCAAATATGAGTTATAATTTTGACAAATGAAATTATAATCATGTAACTCACCGCTAAAAGAACAAGATATCGATCCAAATTTGTTCTTTGCTTTACTGCTAATGACAAGTCTGGAACCACGGAGTATAACCCAATCTTCTGGCGTGCAAGACAATGGGGGAACATCATGTAGAAATTTTGTAATTTCTGGATTGGAAACATCCAAGTGAGGTAGCTTGCAAGCCACGACTCCTTCCCTATAGATACACGAATTTGATCTAATGTTTGTAGTTAAAATATAATTGTTATTATTGGTTATAAATGTACCTAACAGAAGGCTGCTCAGATTCCTTAATTAATTGAGATATGTGTATTCTGAAATAACATAAATTAATCACAATTAAACATGAAACATTATATAGTAATGAATCATGTTATAAGAGGATAAGTTGCCCACAATTTATCTAAATTCGACAGATCGTTATCAGCGAATCCCAATTCAGATCGAAGAACTTGCACAATGCAAAACAGCAGCGTAACGAATAACGCTGTTATTATAATACGCCGAAGATAACATGACATAATCCTCATCCTTACTCAGTTTATCATACTGCTCTCTCACTGTAAGATAAATATAAGACAATCACAGGATATCGATTTATTTACATTTGTATACAATACGAATTATAATTCTGAAGTAAATATACAAGGTTTTAACCTCTATTCTTACAGATGCCGAGGGTAGACTTTTTAATCAATATTCACGGTCGTTGTTTAACGACTGCAAGATCGAGCGCTAGCTTCAGCTCGATCTGAAGGGTAGCTTTCGATAATACCTATAAAACAAAATGTATATTTATACCGTACACAAATTGAATTTGTTCCGTCGAGTCTTAAAAATATCTCGTCGTTTAACAATCGTCGTTCAACCACACGAATATGTTGTTTAATGTTTGTCATTCGTTTACGTTAAAAAAACTGAAATAATTCAATGAATAATTCAACCGTGATCAATTATTTATATCATTACTGTATAAATTGACTCCGTATTAAATCGTGACGTTTAATATTTACCGATTAAGCGGTGAAAGTAGAAAAACAGATATAAAAGAGAACAAATATTTAGTCGAGAAATGTTGCTTTAAAATTATTTCTCTTCTGTTATACTGACACGTACACGCGAAAGCGAGGATCTTACTACGTTAGAGTATAGATGCGAAATTAAAATAACATACACATACTTTGTTCTCTTATTGAGTTATTATGACTTTTAATCATACTCGAGAGTGTCATTCACGAACAATTTACGATGAATAATGTGTGTGCATTTCAGCTTTTTTTTTATGAAACCGATAAGAGAAGTATATATGCAACGGTAGACATATGTATACGTACATGCTGCTACATACGTAGATGCAAACCATAGTCGTTGCATAAGTTTCCTGAATCAAAGGTCGGTTACGGAATTGTAAAATTCTTCAGTAATAAATGATTCGAGCGTTTTGAGTTTTCTCAATCTTTTATTACAAAATTTGGTTTCTTAAAAATTAAATAAAAAAAAAATGCGTATACCTCAGTCACAAAGTACAAAGGCATGTACTTTCCTCTATTTGTATGTTACAGTCTTAAGCTAACTTATTTAGGTATTTACAGTACGAATGAGTAAAAAAATTCATTTCGAAGAACATGTTCAGAAATATTACTGGTTATATCCTCACTATTTCGAGTACTATAAATTACAAATCATACTTTCTTTTTGTACTCTTTCACAAATTAAACAAGTATAAAATTGAGCGAAACATTTTTGATTTCGTTCCATAAGAGTTTTATAAAAACTGATCAGTATACTCTCGCTATATTGCCATGCCACGAAAGTTTACTGTATAATAAATATATTTACAAGCGTTGATTGTTGTGTGAATAAATTAATTAATTAAAACGACTTACGTCCCTTAGGAAATAAAATGTTATTCGATTCAATCGATCTTCCGCACCGTAAAACTATGTCTCCACGGAATTGCGTTGAGAAGACTTTGACTCTGTAGAAAACGATAAGTACGCCACTTAATTATCGTTATACGAATATTAAATTATAGCCTACATGTACACATATAATAGTTGTATAATTAATGTTTACCCAAGTTTGCAATGGCACGTTCTCTGTATTATCGTTGCTGTTTGCGTTTATATACTGTTGCGGCTGCTCCTCGTTTCTTCTGGTTATAAATGCTGGTCTGTAACTGTCGTACACGAGAATCAAATAGTCTGGAACTAAACACACGACGGCGACGATAATAGTCAAGAACCAGAACGTTATGGACGATATCAGCACTTGAAAAACTCTCAGCATATCTCCATCATATTTTCTGAAAAAAAATGTAGATATCCAATAGTGTTATCGATTCAGATTCAGATCAAATTCTATTTGAGGTGTGAGAAACACCTGAAGTATATTTTAGCAAACATTGAATTTAATGATCATTCTTATCGTCATTTTTACATACGTACATAGGTATGAAAGAATAAATAATTGCTACTGCAAAGAACGATAGCTCTGATAATCCTACTATTAGTACAAATGGCATTGTCCAATATGAACTACGAATTAATACCTGAAAGTTAAAGAAATCGATGATGTATTTATTGCAAAATAATTTTTGTAAATATCGAATTAGAGATATACCATTAAATTAGATATTAGTGTAACTAAATGGAAAACGCATGTACTAAATGACCACTGATCCATCGGTGTATTATTATACAAAACGGTGGGATTGATGTTTATAAAATTATATGCCATAAAATATGTAACAGAAGTATGCCAACAACCTAAAAAGAACAAAATTTTTAACGTGCTAAACAAAAAGGAGATTTTATTTGTTATAAAGTTGTCGTCAATTACCTAAAATTGTCCATATTATGAACTGATTTGTTGATAATAAATAATTGTTCCGATGTAACTTATATAAATAGGGATAACGTAGAAGCTGACCAGCAGTATAATCCTGCTCTAATAATCCGTATGCTAATATTGGTAGCGATGTGAACAGTACGTTGAACAACATTAAAAATATTCCATCGTAAAATGCCTAGAATCCAATCGTGAAACAAGTTATGTTCAGCTGACTCAACAATGGATAATGAAAGATTAATATGCTATCACGCTTCACACGTGACTGACATTAACGAGAATATATTACTTTTGATATTTTTAATTTTGTTATAAATATCATTTTTACAGTTCTTTCGGTTAGCATTAAAGGGTTGAGATAATACCTGACCAGAGAAACCGCTATGAAAGCAGAAGAACAGTTGTGGCGTTATGAACATGAAATTCTTGTAAAAAAAATATTGCGTCAAAACGCTGATCCTCAGATAAAACCAATGTCCGTGAACCAGCAGAGCTTTTCTTAAAAATCTGAACTTTGCTATGGCAAAATCGGAACACATGGTAGCTTGACGACCCTCTTTGCCCATTATTCCGATTCCGACATGAGCTTCTTGTAGCATCGACACATCATTTCCTCCATCACCGATCGAGGCAGTGTGTGGTCGGCTTTTTGCAGTTTTTATCAAATTTACAATCTGTATAAAAATGGTCGGATAGAATTATATAGGTTATGAATGTTTTATGAAGCGAAAAATGTATGCAAAATTTTACTCAAATATTAGATCTGTTAATAACCGATCGTTTGTACAAGTGTTGCACGTTTATTTGAGTCTTCTACTTCTCGCAACACAGAACGTGTTAACGATGTTGCAAATGTAATTATTTCACGCGAAACTTACTTCGCTTTTTTGCAAAGGCGTTAATCTACAACAGACTACCGCATTACAGGCCATCCCAACGATTCTAAATTGTTCAGGATAATTTTTTAACGCGAGTGCTATAGCACCACCATCCACTAACAAGCCATATTGACTATATGGCTCGATTTTTATTCTTCTCCTGGAATCGTACAAAAATAGCAGGTTATTACAACAAAATCCCAATTATATTTATTTTGGGTTTGATGCTTAGCATTTTACAACTCCAAGGAATTATACCTACTCAAAATCCGTAAGACGACGAAGACAAGTTCCATTGTCGGTTATTTCAGTCAGTTTCAGTATTTGAGTACCTTCTTTGAATTGACCACAGAGGAACGCTATGTTTTCAGCGGTTTCTGCTTTGTCCCCAGTCAACACCCATATCTAAGTTTTAAATATTCATTGAAAAGTAACTGTTCGATTTTTTATATTTTGTAGGCCAACTGGGTCATCTTTGTCACTTTACAGTTTTTAATTAGTAAGGTTTTTTCTTCGCTCGTGACATCGACGACCCAGGTCTTCTACCAAGGATTAAGTGAACAGTCAGTTAACAAATCCGATGATAGGCTACCATTTAATTACTCGGATTACTAACTTTAATGCCAGCAACTTGTAAGCATTCGAGAGTTTCCTGCACACCTTCTTGAAGACGATCCTCGATGCCAGTGATCCCTAACAAGGTGAGACCGTCTTCCATCTGACTGTAAGCTCTTCGCATATATATCGCTCGTTCGATGCCGATAATTTGCCTGGCCTGTTCCACCTTCTGCACCAGCTGATCGTACTCTTGCTGGTTCATTTTCTTGTACGCAACGACCAACGTTCGTAGACCTCTCTGCAAAACGAATCTTCGATGAATAGAGCTTAAACTCCGAAAGAGAAGAATGTTATGAACTCGTTATAAGACAGTGAACGAACTCTGGAAAAGTCAGCAACATGAGCAATAGCCTGATTAATGTCTCCCGAGACTATCAATGGGAAGATAGCCGAATCCGCCCCTTTGCAATACAACCAGTAATCATCCGCGGCGTCCTTCACTATTACCGACATCCTCTTGCGTTCTGTCACATAAAAGATTCTTATTAATCTCGTTGCCAGTCTGGCGAAAACGGACGATAAGTAGTAAGCGGATTCATAGAGAACTTCCACATTTCGAATACCAACCGGAGGTGAATTCCAGGACTTCCAACTTCTCAAAAGTCAACACGTTCTTGTTGATTTTGAGTTCCATTTTGTCCGCGCTGCTTTTGTAAAAAACGACTCCGCATCTGGCGCTGGCTTCGACCAAAGCTTTCTCGTCTGCAGATGCTGCCTACCGCATATGGATTACATATTTCTTGTTTGAAATGTAGAAAAGTTATATTGTTCAAATTAGACACACGGAAAATATTGACGTTATCGTTTAACATGATGCAACGTGTAAATTTATCGCCAGCTGTTGTTTACGGTTATTTGTCGAAGATAAAAATAACGACGCAGAGTCAATGTCACAGCTAGCGTTGTTCGAGATACTCGTTAGCAGATAATTTTACCTGATACTCTGGTAAATCCGGGTGCATCAACAAGGAACTGTTCAGCTGCGTCACCTTCTTCAGCCTAAAACTTTTGCGATACTCTGTTCGTTTTGCGATGACGCTCAGTCTCTGACTAGGGGGTGAAATTTGAACGACGTGGCACAAAGCGATGCTTATCATGAAGTGCCAAAGATCGTGCTGTAATTGTAACAATTGCATCGAATAAATAGAATCGAAATACGGACGCAATTTTTGTTTACCTCCCACGTTGTTAATTTCACAGCTTTATCTTCATCCCCGTCAGGAGGCACTTCGTACAAATAACCGTCGCAATCTTTTTCCAGGTATATTTTCCCATTGACCGAACAACGTTTAAACACCATTATATTTTCAGTGAGCGTGCCAGTTTTGTCTGCAAACAGGTACTCGATTTGCCCGAGCTCCTCGTTCAAGTCCGACGTGTTGGTTAACGCCGATTGATCGGTGTGTTCGTCGTACATGTCGATGTCCCAGCTGAAGAAAAATGAACTGAGGAATTTTTGTAATTCTGCAACGAGAACAATTGATCGCAGCTCGTCAGTCACGGTTGAATTTGAAAAAAAAAAGAAAAATAAACGAATCGATCAGATACTCGAATGATTGCATTGGAAAGAGAATTGCATTTGTCCCTCGGTTCATACGCGATTTTGAGCGATTTCTTTTTACGCGGTCGATATTGACCCCGTGTACATGGTGACCCGCTTTGCACTCGATCATGTCGAACGCCTACCGCTAAGGGACCGCCTTTTTTACGATATCGTGCAAAGCAAAGGATCAATATTAACTTCTCGAGACATTGACGAATAAAAGTTTTAAATAACAAACGCAAACAATGACACATGAAGGGAATTTTGCAATTGCTCTAACTTTAGAATCACGACACGATTGTTACGATGTCAATTTGGAAATATAAGTTTCTCACGATAATCATAAATACAAGAAATGTTTTTTTACCTATGGTGACGTATAACGATATAGGAACGATGTAATTGTACAGCACCGTGAAGCTTAAAAAATCAGTGACCAAAGAACCTACAGTGATGGTACCATCTTTATCTAAATACGCTTCCCATTTGGCAGTTTGCTCAAATACGATCTTCAATATGCACGACAGCATTATCTCGAACACTAATACCACAATGTATACGACGATGTATTTATTAATGGACCTGAAGTGCAACAAAATTCGTAACTGAATGTTCATTAGATTCATTTCAACAAATAGATGCTTACTTTTCAGCTGTAGAGAATTTGTTGCTCCTGATCTTGGAATTGAGGGATAATTTGGTATCCTGACCAGTGTAAACTGCACAACCGACGATGTAATCAGTGTCCTTCAATCTTGATCCACGAAGTAACAAGTTCTCGATCGTCAAGTGACCGCTGGCTACTTCGTTATTGCGATCCGGGACTTCTATCTTGCCGTGGAAACGATAAAGATCGGACGAAGGATGTTGGCAAGTAATAGTGGCTTTCATGGATGCTACATCCGGCATGTTCATTTTTGAGATCACTTTTGGAACGTGCAATGTCTAAACGGGTAACAAACTATGATTATTGTAATATGTGGAATTTGGCACGATTCAAAGCAATATGATCTTACTTTCAAGTTAGTTTCTCCATCGAGATTCGACGTGGTTACGTAGCAACGTGCAGAATCTTCAGCGCTGTACAGAAGCAACAGATCGCAAGGAATATCTTCGTCGCGATTCACCTTCACCAAGTCGCCGACCACTATTTCTTCACAATAAATGTTCTGTAAATACGGGAGAATGCAAGAGACAAGCATTGCTACTAATCTCGACTTTCATCTGACACGAAAGTTCATCTAGTCTAGTCATCGATAGCTTATCAATGCGGTGTACGACAGAAAATTGAATGATTTTCAAGTAAGCGTAACTGACTTTATCACGATAGCGTACAACTGTTCACCAACCTGTGTGCACTTGTTACGAATCACAGTAACCAATCTCCTATTTATTCTTTGATCCAATATGTGACGAAGATAATCCTCGTATCCTTGTTTGCAGGCTGTTACCAGTATGACGAAGCTTAAGGGTAAAATGCTAGTTATAGGCGAAATCGGTGACGTGATCATCAGCGATATTATCGCTGTTATCAGGAAATAAAAATTGGCTATTCGCCTGAACTGCTCGAACAGATTTTTTGGTATAAAGTTCCATATTGTATACTGTAAACGAAGTAATTCGCTGTTAAATAATTGCATGTAACATGTGGACAATGAGCTAAGCATATTTACCCTCTTTGAAACGATACGATTGCTGGGGAAAATTGTTTGAGATGGATCGTTGTCGGGGCTGATAGTTACAACTCTGTGATCCGTGTACACCGACGGTGCACTACCCTGCAAACACAAAGCAAATACAAAACATAAATTATTCGATTCGAAACTATACCTTACTTTACCTGTCGTGTAAATTAATTGTTCGGTAAAAGTTTTGCAAACTTGCTTGGATAAAGAGTATCACGTGGGATAAGGTATGGTCTGTTCGTACAAGAGCCGGAACTCTCAAAAGCCTTTTGGATTTGAACCATTTCGTTCTAATGAACTGCCATATTCTCACACCGAGAGATTTAATATCCAATTGTATTTCGAGATAAGGGAGGTTAACCAAATCATCTATGGGTTGAGTAACGTGTTCCATCTTTCCAGTTTCCCGCGCTTAACCGATCAACTCAAGGTACCTTATCTTTTACTATCGAATCACCGACGTTTATGTCAAACATTTCTATAGGAAAGAAAATATCGATAAGAAATTTGACGATGTTAGAAAATTGGATAACAGACCACAAAAGTTGCGTCGGTATTTATCGATTCGTTTGTTTCTGTTTTCTTCCACGTGCACAATATACAGCAACGGTCAACGAATATCGAACTATCATTTTACAACTCAATGATAACGAACAATTTTAAGAAATAATCATTTCCATCTGTTCGTAATGCCGTCAAACGCTCTAGATAAAAATCTAGATATTCATCGAGATGTAAAGTGATGATTACATATTCGAAAAATGCGCGACTTCTCGCGCGAAGATCGTGCGACTATCGTCCGAAAGTGGTTGCGAAACGCAAACAGTCAAGTGTCAAATGATTCCGGAGGTGAGATGCAGTTCGATAAATTCGGTCAATAAATTTCGAAATTCAATGAAAATCGGAGTTCTCCCTCTTCTGCGATCCATCTATCGCGAGTAGAAACGTATGGGGTCATGTACACGAATCCACAGTTTTGTCGTCGTTCTCGATCCGTCGTTTTACGTCTGTATTATGGATGCCATTCCGGTGACATTGCATGCAAACGATTACCCCATACGGTGTTCGATTTGCCAAACCACATCGTTCGTTTCAAACACGACAACAGTGACACGCGTAATTTCGATAATGTGTTGAATACGTCTAACAGCCAGTACTTGGAGTATCTGTACAAGTTATGGCTGCAGGATCCGAAAAGTGTGAACATCTCGTGGGATTCTTTCTTCAAACTGATTCATAAGGATGTAGCGTTAACAACTACAGCTGTCAAAACAACACCGGTACGAGTCGAATCGCCCTCTTCTTTGGCGCCGCCGCATTTGACTCGTCCGCAAGGTAGATCGTTATATCGCCACGATGATTTAATGCTCTGGATAACTGCATGATTGTGTGTTGAATCGCGTTATATCTCCGCACTATGTAGCGACAGTTATTGCCACAGCATTAGTTGCTACTAGTTATAAGCATCATCGTAATTTCTAGGAGTAGCATTCCCATCTCAAAGCTCGAGGAACAAATCAGACAGCGAAATGCAGGGTGAAAGTTACATAAACGGAGCCCTCGATATTAACGCGACGATTCGAGCCTATCAGGTATTGAAGTATCGATTTCGACTAGTCCGGATAAAAGAACTGATTTTGTTTGTTTTTGATAAAAGACTCGAGGTCATCTGATAGCCGATATAGATCCATTGCGTATTCAAAATCCAGATTCACATAAACTGAAAGGTACAGCGAATTTACCACCCGAGATCGTGGTGCGACAGCATCTTAAAGGCATGACCGAGGCTGACATGGATAGAGAGTTTCCTCTCGCTCCGTTCACCGTCATCGGTGGACCTAGACGAAGTCTTACTTTGCGCGAGATACTGACCAGGTTAAACGAAGTTTATTGTGGTCATTTGGGTCTCGAGTACACGTATATCCACGATCTTAATATGGTACGATTTATGAATGAACAATACATGTCACGGTGAAAAAATCATCGGTGTATTTTCTGTTCTTTAATCCTGTAAGATCACCCTAACTCGGAATTCTTTTGTGCCACCTTTTCCAGTTAGATTGGCTGCGAAATAGATTTGAAGTGCCAGGCGCTTGGGACCTACCTGTTGAACACAGAAGGTTCACTTGGCTGAATATCATGAGAGCAGTTACGTTTGAAAGCTTCTTGGCCAAAAAATATCCCACCGAAAAGAGGTTCGGTCTGGAGGGTTGCGAAGCTTTCATACCAGCGATGGTAGAATGCTTGGAAACGTCAGCTATGCATGGTATTACGGCGCAATCTGTCTCAAACAATTGCTCTCATTCCGCGTTATTTTGTAGAGGTAGAGACTGCCGTGATAGGAATGGCGCATCGTGGACGATTAAACACCCTAATCAACGTTTGCTTCAAGCCGTTGCATCAATTATTGACGCAATTCTATCCGATCGCTTTCGAAGGTTTTGGCTCCGGTGATGTTAAGTATCATTTAGGAACTTACGTGGAGCGAAAACTTGAAAGGTGAAGCAATCTTTATGAATGCGAGCGAAAAATAATGTACTCAGGTTGTTGAACAAGATATTGTTCGCAGGTCTGACAGAAGAATGCACGTCTCGTTAATGGCAAATCCTTCGCATCTGGAAGCCATTGATCCCGTGGTTGTTGGTCGTGTTCGTGCCGAGCAAGTAGAAAAAAACGATGCCACGGGTACGTATAATCTTATTAAGTAATCAACGCTTAAAAATTAAACTGTCGATCGTTCTAGATGGTAAGAGGTCCATAGCAATTTTGGTTCACGGTGATGCCGCTTTCTCGGGTCAGGGTATCGTTTACGAAACGATGCACTTAACTAATCTGCCACAATACACCACTGGCGGTGTCATCCACGTTGTGATTAATAATCAAGTAATTCTTTTCATCTCAAACTTTTTTGGGTTCGACGATTTCACTTGCTTCGATGAATTTCAGATTGGTTTTACTACGGATCCAAGGTACTCTCGATCTAGTGCACATTGTACAGACGTAGCACGTGTTGTAAATGCCCCCATATTCCACATACACGGCGACGATCCGGATTTGGTGACTTACTGTAGCAAAGTTGCCAGTGATTACAGGGCACAGTTCCACAACGATGTTGTATTAGATATCGTCGGATACCGAAGATTTGGTCACAATGAACTGGATGAACCAATGCTGACTCAACCATTGATGTACAAACGTATTAAACAGCATCCAAATGTACTCACTCTGTATAGCGATAAGCTGTTAAAAGAAGGAGTGATCACCGAAGCGTATGCCAAAGAAGTACGAAAAGAAATCTGCGTTTTATTCGGAATTCCTTATTTCACAACTCGTTCCAGGAGATAGACAAGTATCTGGATTACTGTGAGACAGAATTCACGGAAGCAAAAAAGGTGGAATCCATGCAATTGACCGATTGGCACGACGTACCATGGAGCGATTTCTTTGCTAATCAGAGTCCTAAAAATAAAATACCGCCAACCGGTATCGATTCGAACACCATACTGGCGATCTGCAAGGCTATTTCTACTCCTCCTAGCGACATCGAAGCTCATAATCAAGTACAATCAAGTATCATTATTAACACTTTCCTAGTGTTAGACTTTTCTTAGCTCTAGGCTCGTTCAGGCTATCACTAGCTTTTACAATAGTAAGCTCATGTTGTACGCGCAGGTGTTGAGGGTAATGGATAAAAGATCTCAGCTTACGGAGTCTCGCAGAGCAGACTGGGGTATGGGCGAGTGTTTGGCGTTTCTCAGTTTATTGAAAGAGGGCCATCATGTAAGGTTGTCCGGAGAAGACGTCGAACGAGGCACTTTCTCTCATCGTATACACATTATTCATGATCAAAGCAGAGATAAAACATACAAGAACATTTTGCACAATGTTTTCCCTGGACAAGCTCTGTACACTGTGACGAACTCGTCGTTGTCGGAGTACGGTGTTTGCGGTAAGTTTTGGGAAAAAAATATTGAATAAAACGTGGACGAAGATACCGTTAATACTTGTAGGATTTGAGTTGGGGTATTCAGCCTACAATCATAATTCTCTGGTAATTTGGGAAGCCCAATTCGGCGACTTTGCGAACACTTGTCAGGTAACACCGTGAGAAAGTCCAATTTAAGTGATATTTATAATTTCTTTGTGTCGAAATAATACGTTATCGATTATTATCGGATTAATCGCAGTTTCATTCGTTTATCACGAATTATCTTTAAAATCTGTATATTTTAATCGAACATGAATATTGAAAACAGAAGAAGGAAAGAAAAATGATATATTTAGGTTGTCCATGATACTTTGTTATGCTCTGGACAAGTGAAATGGGGTAGACAAGTAGGACTGGTCCTTTTTTTACCTCACGGAATGGAAGGACAGGGTCCTGAACACTCGTCCGGGAGACTCGAAAGGTTCCTCAAGCTCTGCGACGACGATTGCGTTTATCTTCCTGGATCAGAACCAGGGGCACCTGGGAATGAAACTCTCGAGGAAATCATGACGAGGCAGTTGTTCGAAATAAACTGGATCGTTTGCAATTTGACTACTCCTGCTAATCTTTTCCACGCACTTCGCCGCCAGATTCTTATGCCTTTTCGAAAACCTCTGGTTAGATATATATGTTAATATTAACTCGTTTTTAACTAACCCTTCACTAAGTTATCGACTGTCGAATGTCTTTTCTCGCCCCGAAATCTTGTCGTAAAACTGTGTCAGTTTTTCTGTTACTAATTAGGTAATTATGACTCCTAAATCTTTACTACGACATCCTATGGCTTTGTCATCTTTCCAAGAAATGGAAAGCGGTACCTCGTTCATGCCCGTCTTATCAGATCCGATGGTGAAACCAGGAAACGTGAAAAAGGTTCTGCTCTGCACTGGAAAAGTGTTCTATGATTTGCTGGCGGAACGTCAAGGGAAACAATTAGAAGATAAAATAGCGATCATTCGTGTCGAACAACTTTGTCCGTTTCCGTATCACCTCCTTGCCCAGGAAATGGCGAAATACCCTAATTCTAAAGTAAATAAATTTATCATTCATTAAAAAATTTCTAGCTAATCTTTCGTATTTTAAGCCTTCATACACTTCACTGATTTCAATCAATCAACGCATTTCCTGTATTAAATGTTTTCCAAAAATTTGGACTTTGTACGCACTCTCATCTTACATGTATCGAACAAATTTTTCGCCTAAATTAATTGATTCTATCTATGAGCACTACCCATTAAAAAGTTAACACGTTTTTTGTTCTTTAGATCATGTGGTTGCAGGAAGAGCACAAGAATCAAGGTCCGTTTAGTTACGTAAGGGACAGGGTAGCATTAGCACTTGGGATACGTATAGAAGATGTTGTTTATGGTGGTCGACCACCATCGGCATCTCCTGCGACTGGTAGCAAAGTTATTCATAAGAAAGAGTACGACGACATGATTGCGGTCGCTTTGAAACTGGACTGATTCGGAAAAGTTGTTCAATTTCGAAGATTAGTATAAAGAATATAATGTATACTTTGTAAATCTGGAAGCGACCGATGTATCAAGATAAGAACATTAATAAACGAACGAACAATCAGTGATGTACACGATGAGTTACCATTGACTTTCATTTCTGCCGAACACATGTCAATCTACTCACCAAAAGGCACAGATACCTCGCATACGTTTTATTGGTGTACCAATTTCCATCGAAACAGTTCCACATCGAATTCGTTTACTTTTTAATTGCTTAGTTTAAAACTGTTAAACACTGTGTTGCAGCTGATAGATACACACCTACTTGACGTGTAACATATAACTGAACTTGAGAAGGCTCTAGGTGTATCGTGCTAATAGTACGATCTATATATGCAAGTAATGAAACTGTATCATGATTTATGTATGTTCTCATGTTTATAACATTTATAGAAGCACAAGAAATCGTGACTTCGCGACGTAAAATCAGTACATATCGATGCAAGTTACTCTATATACAAATTTCTAAATTTTATTTCAAATAACAAATACCTATTCATTTATAAATAGCACTGTTTTTCACAGTGCCAGACTCATTTAAAACCGGATTTATTATTCTCCTTTTTTATTAATAATTCTGGTCATTTACGAGCGAGAATTAGAATTAATTTTTTTCGCCATTGAATACATTAAGGAAGCGGATTAGCATTGATCATATGCAATATTGTGATTTCTCATTCAGAGGGAAACAAGTTAGAGCGAAGATAATTAATTCCTGATATCATATAGAAAATAAAAATTGGAAATTTTTTTATTAGAACAAACATCTTACTGGTCAGAACTAAATTGTATAATGTAAAAATAAATTGAGTCAGAAAACTTCTTACCATTTCAATCAAGGTTTTGAGAACCAATGTTTTGCCGATGAACAAATTTCCTTTTCCCTTTCAGTTGATTTTTTTTATTAATTCATTTGCCAAATTCGAAGCACCTGATTCATTGTTTTAGAGTTACTCACTGTTTCTTCATTTTATGCTTGATAGAAATAATTCTAACGCGGAATCGGATCGGTATTCGACTAATTAGAAAATTTGTATTCGATTTAAATACACTCAAAATATGTTAATTAAATACACTTTTAGCAATTAATGAAATTTGTTATCAATTACACTTGGTATATCAGAGGGTGACGTGAATCGATCGGTTCACAAACTGTTGCAGGATAAAGCGAGAATGCTAACTGCGATATACTATCGTGGCCGCGGATAAAAAATACTTTGTCCAATCACCAATACATATCCCGCCCTATCAGAAATCCAAAAGATAAGCAATAGCTTATCGAACTCGTCGCATCCGGCAACTTTCTGCAAAATTAGTTAATCGATACGTCCATAATGTTTTTTAAAAATCGAATAAATATTTGCAGATTTATGTTTATTTTCTCCGTACTCTTTTTATTGTTTATACATACTGAAAGCCTAAATCATGTCCAATCATATTGTCCCTATCGAATATTCAATTCCAGTTTATACTACTTCTATACGAAGTAATTTAGTAATCGTAAAACAAGAGAATCTTTAATATACAATTAAACAGTTCCTGGAGCGTGGCGCGTAATCATAATTCGAATCGTATTTGCCGCGTAGATGCGCGCGCTTATTCTGATAGAGGGCGCTATATTCGAAGCATGCAGATGAAACGATGCGCAGAGCATCTAGTGCGGTCAGTTGAGTGCATAATATGCTGGTGTTCGGTGCGTATGACATTTCATCGCGTTGCGTAATCGTTTAAAGGAGCAAGCGAGAGAAAGAGAAGAAGAGCCGATAGAATAAAATCGTGTAGGCGAATATAATCGTGCCTCACGTTACCGTTAATCCTACGACACTGCCTGGTGCGGATCAAGAGATATGCCGAAGAGTGGAGGCGAGCATTGCTAGCGCCGAGAAGGATGCAAGTGGATTTTCCGCTAACAGATCGATAGCGAACAACGAACTGCTTGACACGGGAAAAATGTCGGCAATGAAGTCCAGTGGTACGCCGGGCACCACTCGCGTTTTGCCCGTGTTAAGCCACTTCAGATACGAGCATTTTGTTGCTGGCATATCTGGTGGTGTAGTATCAACGTTGATGCTGCATCCGCTGGACTTGATCAAAACCAGATTTGCAGGTAAGCGAATTTGTTTCGTCGTTGACGGCATAACGTTTGCTCGAAGCAAATGGCGGGTATGCGTTCGATTTGTTCCGCGATACACGTGGTGTACGAGCTAATTATTTGTTTCGCTGACTAAGACACGGAAAATTATTTGGGTCCGTTCTTCCGTACGATTCGCCTCTTTGACCATTTTCTTTTCGATCGATGCTACTTGTCGACATGTCGAACTACATAGAACGTGTACAGTAACTGTAAAGTTGTACCAACCAGTAGATGAAACATCGCAAGTGGCATTTCTAATCGAAAGGGAACAATTAATTTTTGCAGACACCAGGATTTACATGATATATTTATATACCAAATTAGGTTAGGTTAGAAATTTAAATAATACTAAATAGATGCGAATGATACGTTAGATTCTGTTTCAGTCATTCTCATTCGTCTTATTATCGGATTGTCGATAACATTTCGATATTATCGATATCGGCATCTTTAGTTCAAATACGCCATTTGCAACGACATAATCAGCGATAACCGAACAACTTGCTAAGTAAAATCAACTAGGAAGTGGTCACGTAACAAGTCTCGTTAGTCACTAAATATATTTAAACCAAAAATATTTGCATTGTTAAATGTAGAGTTAGGAATAGCATAGATTTTGTGAAATGTTTGCGAGCGATAAGTGTAAATGAAACATTTGCGAAATTGAATAACATTTTGGGTCGACGATTCTATCGATATTCGGCAACAAGGTCAGCCGAGCAAAAGCACGTGGCGTTATCGAGAAGAATCGAGAAAAGTATTTTCGACTGGGCTAGAAGCACGCGGTTATCGATTAACTTAGCTCGCTCGTGTCATGGTCTTTTAAAAATACATAAATATTTTAATATATGTGAGAGGAAGTGATGTTTTTCAATGTTAGTTTTATTATTTCTTTTAATTAATGACATTAAAAGTTTCCTCTTAGCGCGAGGCAGTACCAAATAAAAAGAGGTATCGCTATGACATTCTACTATAAGTACTCTTATCTAGCAATATAATAAGAAAAATATATTTGGAATAATTTGCGTTTCCCGGAACTTGTAATCGGTAGACGAAGAAATTTACGAAGTTGTTAAAATATTTCTGTCAACATGTTATCGTTGTTATGATACGAATTTTTAATTAACATAAGTGAAAGAAGTTTTTTCATTGTCTATCAAAATATCTGAAAATGCCGCCATCTGCATATGACCTTGACACGCGTAGAAAAAAAATGAGATGATTGAGCCACGTGATTCTGGCAAAAACGAAATGGAAAGTAAGCGGGTCCATTTTCGATTACGGTCGAGAGTGGAAAGTAGAAATTGTTGTGGTTTCTTCGAGATAAAAAGCGTTTCTTATTCGTACTTGCGAAATTTAGTGTTGACTCACAGCGATTGTAACTCTACGCTGCTTTCGTTATTTAATTACTTCTTTTATAGTTAACTGATTTATCTTGAGCAGAGATAATGCAATATGTAATTACAATGAAAAGTACTCGATCCAGTTAACAATAAAACGATTATAATGAAACGACATCAAATGAAAAGAAAACGATTTATCTCGTTCGAAGTAGTCATTTAGTTCATTATCAAAAGGGCTTCCGGTATTCAAGTTCGTGCATCTATCGACGAACTTCGAAAGTTTATTCATCTTAGCTTTCGATTTCGTTATCATTAAAACGCTGATGAGGTTGTAACGAAAGAGGCTCGTTTACCAATGTATTTTCGTCGTAAAATTCGTTGGCTAAACACCAAATAGCAAGAAATTCAGCGGATTGCGTCAGAAGCACGTGAGTCTGAACGATCGCGCGTTTTAACGCGGTTTCTTGCGATTAAAATTGTTGGACGAGAAAGCTGACAAATTTGTCATTTCTGACGTCCTTCTATAATTAAAAACAATTTTACTTCTAAAATTCATTGCTATAATTTTCAGTGATCAAATTCAAAGTGTAGTATTAATTTCCTTTTCCATTATAAATAAATACGCATTTTTCTTTATGCAAATTTTTTAGCGCACATTTTATACTTTCTAGCAATATACGTATATGGTGCGTACGGTCATACAGCGCATAGCGATACGATGTGTAACCGTATGGTAATAAACATAAAACATCGGTGATGATGACAGAATAACGGTAGTTTAATTATCGTTATATACGTCCTTATCATCTTGTTAATAAAATTTTGCAATGTTATAATTCGTCCGATTAAAGTATTCGCAAATATTTAACAGAGCGATAAGTTGTCATAACAAGAGCATCTTGTGCATGTCAATAATATTGTCGTCTTTTCGTCGGTGTTTGTAAAGGCAGTTTAGAATACTATTATACGCTGCTGTTTATTCTGAACATTCAAGGAATGTAACATCGTTAAGAAATAAAATATGATTTTCACTCGTGATCCAAGCAATCGCGTGGCGAACGAGACTACAGATAAACCGTGACACGCGATGAAGGAAAAAGTTATTAGATTTCGTTTATCGCGCGCCTCCCCGTTATCGTTCAAGTAGAAACAGCGAACAAAAGTCTCGGACACAATAGTTTGGCTTCTACAAAATTTACACACAAAATTTTTGTTTTGGTAATTCATTAAAAATTATTTCTTCTCTCTTTATAGTCAGTGATGGTCATATACACGCGGGTCCACAGTACAAAAGCCTTAAAAGCGCAGTTATGCAAATTGTTAAGACTGAAGGAATCAAGGGACTTTACAGAGGTGTAACACCGAATGTTCTAGGCTCTGGTGGTGCATGGGGCTGCTATTTCTTTTTGTAAGTATCTTGAACAGCTTCCATTTGTCTTTTTCTGAAGTTGTTTCACAATCTCTAATATATGGCCATTGTTTCTGTTTAGCTATAATACCATTAAAACTTGGATCAATGGGGGAAACAATAAGAAGTCTTTGGGACCCTGTATGCATATGTTCGCTGCAGCAGATGCTGGAATTCTTACTTTAGTTATGACAAATCCATTGTGGGTAGTAAAGACACGTTTGTGTTTACAGTATATGGACGATAAACATCTTCCAGAAACACTACGGTATAATGGAATGGTAGATGCAATTAGAAAAATTTATAGAACCGAAGGAGTTAGAGGCTTGTATAGGGTAAGCTGAAGTTCCTATCAGAAGAACAGAAACAATTCATTTATATGGTCTTAATTGCATTTTTTCACTTTGGGATGTTAATAGGGCTTCATTCCTGGAATGTTTGGTGTTTCACATGGTGCCATTCAGTTCATGGTGTATGAAGAGCTGAAAAATTGGTACAATGAGTATTTGAATGCACCGATCGATTCTAAGTTGGTAAGTTTGATAAGTGATACTCATAAATTGCATGAAGTACTCTTGTGCAATATGTACAAGTTGTTTATTTCTTTGCAGAGTACACTGGAATATATCTTCTTCGCGGCAGTTTCAAAATTAATCGCAGCAGCAACGACTTATCCTTATCAAGTCGTAAGAGCACGTCTTCAAGATCATCATCATCATTACAACGGCAGCGTTGATTGTGTCAAATCGATATGGAGGTCAGAAGGAATTAAGGGTTTTTATAAAGGCTTAACACCATACCTTATACACGTGACACCAAATATTTGTTTAATTATTGTAATTTATGAAACATTTGCTAATATGTCTTCGGATTGATTTCTTAGATTATGTTAATCTAAAATTTTAAAACGTAGCAAGTAAAGGAGCGTATTACTTTTATTTTAAATATTTTAAAAATTTACCGAGGCACAATTTTGCTTTGATACTGAATTTTCCCAGCTCTTAAGTTGTTTTTTATCATTTTTTCAGTAGTAATCGATCAACGAATAATTTTTTTAATTTTGTATTTAAGACAGCCTGTACGAATTGTATTTTGGAATTTTGTTAGATGAACGTACATTTACAGCAGTATTATTAAAAAGAAAAAACTATTATTTTCTTATACAGTACACTTTCGTGCAGATAGTAAAAGCAATACGTGTTTTAATAGCATCTTTGTGTATGCTTCCGCCGTGTCGCTGTTTACGTTAAATTGGCAAATGTCAATCGAGAAAGTAGCATTGTTAGTTAACATTGAATATTTCTCTAACTATATAAGTGTATTATAATAGCGTAATTTGTGGAAAAGAAATGTTACTTTGTGGTTGTAAAGGATACAGCTGCTCAATTAATTTAGACAATACTTTTGAGGACTCTCTTAGGAAAAAGGCAACTCACTTGAACAAATGATATTATTGGAAATAGTTTCGTTGTTCTTGGTAACAGTACTTGATACACGATTAAACGATAAATGCCTTGATATTTTAATGATAGATATTAATTTATTTACACTTATTTCCGAGAACGAGGAGTGCACTAGTTAATAATCGATACGAATTTTAAAATGGCAATAAACCATATTAACGCTTTATTTATTTGACAGTCGTACGCGGAATACTTTTGTTTGCTATTTTAAAAGAGCATTCGGAGAAAACACGTATCTTTGAAGAACATTAAACTATTTTTCGTAGAAATAATTTTTATTCGGGCTGGCACTCAAATACATATATCACACGTAATAATTTTTAAGATAAAACTATATTTAATAATTCTTATTAGCATAAATTAATGTTAATTAATTTGAATATTGTACTTCAATGTAAAGAAAAATATAACCGCGAGAAATACAACTTTGTCTTGAAAGATGTAAAATTAAAACTGAATTTCATAGACAGATTATATTTATGTCGATTATAATCTCAATTGAAAATGTTGATGATAATTGTGCGTAGAAATGCTAATGTCTATAAGTTCATCGTTATGTGGGCATCATTACATTTCTTCCGTTGCAATGAATAAGTACCTCAATTTGAAAGAAATAGAAAAATTAATAAAAAAGAAAAATAACTCAACGTTGCAAAGTTTGTTGTTGCAGAGTCTGGCACTCGAAGCAGCCGAAGCGTAGCAATAAAACACTCAATATCATTGGAATCTTCAACAAATACATATTTATTTATGCAGATTATTGATCATAACTTTATAACAAATTTGATAAACACCAGAAAAAAAACACTTAGTTATTTTACAGTGAAATCATTAACTGTTAGATAATGGAGGATCTTTCGCTTATCGTTTAACGGAGATCCCTTGCTTTTATATTTCATCCCTTTTTTGGAATCTGTAGTGACGCAAAATTTTGTACGGTTGTGCATAACGATTGTAGAAATAATTCGAAGAAGAATATTTCTATGGATGGTCATGATAAAGGATCGGATTTCTCCAATTAATTGTTCAAATATTTTTCTTCGAATCGAATGATCATTTCTAAGCGCAACTACGTGGCAGTTTTTTTCTTCTTTCCCTTTATAAATATTTTTACGAATAAATTGGAATGCTGTGGCGGGTCCACAGACAATTATAACGCACTGCAATATGTAAGGAGAGACATTGCGTTTGCGTGCGTGTGTTTGCGTGTATGTGAACATGTGGATATAATTACGAATAGGCGGATCGTTCTGTCAAACCACCAGCAGTACGATTTTTGGACGTGTTACGTATTATATTAACGCTGTATGTGTACTCTACGTGACATATCGAACCGATGCAAAAAAACATTTGATTTAGAAATAAACTGTGTAGAATTGGAACTGTTTGGATTTTCAGAAACTCCTTATCCGTTTATTTCATTTGTCGTCGAATTAACATATTTAAAAAGTGATAAGTGATTCAACTAACAAAGCAATTATTTTCGATCTTTACTAATATTATTTTTTTTTTTAATATATGACGTACGATTACTTTTAAAGGATGGTTTTATGATACAAAAAGAACGACAAGAATCGTACGCCGGTTCAAACATTTTGGTGCGAATGAGACTTAAACTACTATAGTCAGTTAAATAGCCTAACACAAGCAACCGCGATATAGACACGGAGCAAAATAACAAAATAGTATTGCTGGTGGTTAATTGCAGGTATGAGGGTTGGCGTGGCTATTACAAGGGCTTGAGCGCGAATCTGACCAGAGTGACCCCAGCAACCGTCATCACGTTTGTTGTGTACGAAAACGTTTCTCGTTATCTTCTACATAGAAGGGACGAAGACAGAGCACCATTGCCTTTTCCGGCGAAGAACATGGAGAAACAATAATAATAATTTCATCGACGTCAACGCTTTGTCAATTGATCGATGTAGGGGTGTTCCTTTAACTTGTAGGAATTCAAATTTTAATTTCAAATTGTTGTTATTCGAAGTTGAGTATACCATCTTTGTTACAGTGTATACTTTTCTTTAAACAGTCTGTTGGAAAAGCGTTAACTTGCCAATTACTCGTTCAGATCATTAAACATGTTTATACATCACGAAAATTTTGGTTAAATTGCACGAAAGCAAGGCGTACTGCATTTAATTAATTCCAAGCAATTGATCCGACAAATCGATTGATTTTCTGAACGCATTTAACGTGTTGTATCCGCAAAATTTTCTGTCCTAAGCGTTGCACTTGTATTCACGTGTTTATCGTGCGAGGGAAGCATGCATTATATGTATGTGGAATGTATCGTTATGAAAAGCAACTGCGAATATGGCAACCGAATTTCTAACGCAAAATTTTTACGAGCGTTATCGATTTACTCAGTTTCAGTACAGACTGTTTGACCGAAAACTATTGAAACGCACACTACGTACAAATTTGCGAATTTTACAAATTGTGACGTTACAAGTGTTGGAAACATTGTGTATGGCTGTTAGGTACCACTTAATTTGTAGTAATTGGATTACCTTAAATTCCATTTATTTTCAATTGGATTGGAGAACCTTTATAAAATTGTTGGAAAATAATTGTGTCCATCGGTATGCGCGTACATAAAATTTATTTGGCACGCAACTGAATGCAATGTCGATTTGAGATTAATTAAAATGGATTCTCACTGTTACTTTTTATTCTACAATTGCCTATAATTATCGATTGTACTCGCAAACACATGTTAAAATACTCATAAATCCAAGCGACTTAGTTCCTGAATCACGCGTATTTAATATTAAGCTCTGGATTTATGATGCACTTGCACGAGTGAAATATTAATAAACCTGGTGTTTATTGCAATTTATAATTAATTTGACGTTGTAATTCGATCAACGGTTAACAAGATGTATGATTTAATATACTTTATTTCACTCGTGTAAATGCAACGATACCTTACCATCTCTCGATATTTGTATCATTTACAGTGCCTGTAGAACAAGCTTTATTTCCTCAAAATTACGAAGAGTAATTTAGACGCTCATTACTTAGTATGTAAAGTATCTTCGTTTAATTACTTCTTTGCGACGATTACTACTTAAGCTTTATGCTTATTATAAAACATTATTTATCTAAAAAGCAATTCGTCTATTATTCATTCCGGTAGTTTATCCTGTCCAAATTAACGATTAACGAAGATTACATTAAATATTATGGCGTGTTTAACTAATTCCATTAAGATTCTGATGGCTTATCAGAGCTAATGGGCTTTGGGGACAGTTTTTGTACTGGTTATTACAGTCTTCCATGTATTCAGCCTCGGTGATTTTACTGGGAAGGTTTTCATTTTCTGAAGAGGATGGTCTGCGAAAAAATGTGTACAAAGATAATCATCCTTCAATTATAATATTTTTCTCATTAAGTTAAAAAATTCATCAGATCGGTACTTACGTGAGTAAAATTTGTAGTACATCACCGATAACTCCATTGTTGGTCAACGGATTGTTTGCGACTTCGCAAATCATTTTTTGTAGACAGCCTTCTCCAGAGAAACCTAAGCTTTGGTATCAACGAGAAAGATAACGTATGTGTCCATGCTTTTATCCGCTGATCAGTGTCTTTACCTTTCTAACTTGTTTACAATAACTTCGTATGCCAGTCGTCGATTCAAACTCCGCTTTGCAAAATGATCGTCCAGGTAGTAGCTGGAATTCCAGTCTGGCAGACCGTAATTTGCTTCAAAATAGAAAGAAACTTGAATCGATTTATTGGGGATATCGAGAGGTAGTCCGATTGCCATGAATATCTGTAAATGCAGTTGTCTAATTTTGGTAGGGATATAAGATACAAAAGCAGTATATGGTACGCTATGTATGTGTTAGAGTTAGTCGACAAAGATCGTTTGTTTAGTAATTTATTTGGTACTTTACCCCCATGCCGCTCCCGTCAGGGAAGGATACAGATCTTAGGTGCCTTGCTACGCCTTGTGTGATATTTTTCACCCCAGAGACTCTCGATAGCCACATTAAATAACATACCACGAGAATATACATTATACTTAAATATCTGAAAGCCACAAGGATTATTTATTGTCGTACAAGATGTACAGACCAATTTCTATTGTTAAATAAGCTGTCACCTCAATGAAATGAAAAATTCTAATCGTTTTTACGAAGCGACAAATTTTCTTTGAAATTTTAACATTTTGTAAAATCCTTTTTCACTTCTCTCGTTTGCCAAGCAGGAAACGCTCGACAAGATACTGAACACATTCGTAGAAAAATCAACAGTTTTATGCGTTTCACTTCGCGGTGCTATGTGTTTCGGATCCGTGAGAAATTTTATGGTTTGCCTGCCAATGTTCGTGATTTTACGTTCTCGTAAAATCACAAATCGATTCGTGCACGTAGTACAAGAGATGCATGAAAGATTCTGATTTGTAATTTACAATTTCGGATTTAACAATAGCACTCGCGAGATTCACATCGTTAGATTCATTTTTGTTCGAAACAATATCGCGAACGACTAGTACTGGAACGTCACAGCGATTTATAAACTTCCCGACAGCGTTAAAAAAGAGATCGTAGAAGTTAGCGGTGGTCTAGTAATTACCTATGTTAATGAATCGTAACCGGTGCTATTCGCGTTTCCGTGTAAACTCGGGATGCCGTTGTAACGAACGAAGAAGATAAAACTACACGCTAGAAACTACGTTTACCCAGATAATAATATAATAAATTTAATTTTACTTCGTACGTTTACTTTACTTGTTTTTACTGTATCTCGAAATTAAAGCTTATTAAAAACTTGCACACTATACAGTGATTATTTGAAAAAGAAAAGAATATGCTGTACATGTAGGATGTTAAAGGATTAATTTATGCCCGGAACATCTTCCTATCCATTTTCGTAAATCCTCCCCTAGCAGGATCACAAGGGGATGCGTTTATCATCCGTGGGTCGCTTAAAACGATCCGGCGGCGTACGGTCGCGGCCGGATCAGTATGCATTAGCTCGAGATTGAATTAATCATTGAATCGTAATGCGGCTGTTTCTGCGTTGTTTAGCGCATTCCAGATTCAATGGCGAACTTGTAATTATACTCGAGGACTTTGGCCCCGTCGCATCGCCAACCTCCGCTGGAATAACGCGGCAAAGCTACTACCCCTGTGTTTGCCGCGGGGGTTGGGATATCTGGGGCGAACTTGTGCTGCTGGAAACGCACGCACCCCATTTACACAGATATAACTGCTGAGATACATCATTGATTAGCAACCCTGCGAATTTACCGCTCGTGAATTTCTCTATGGTAACTCGCAAAATCGTTTTAATTTATTCATAGTCAATTTGAATTCGCGTTCCGCGTATATTGTCACGCGCGAAAGAAATGTCTTATTTCGAACACTGTCACTCGGTATGCAGGCTGACCCATTTCAAATTTATCAACAAAATTATCCGTTGAAATACGAGCGTTATAACGAATCAATTTTACGGGTGTCTCGTACAAACGTAGTTTATAGAAGAATAATTATATTCATTTCCGCCGCGTCTCAGCGTCCACGAAATTTAAACGATATTCCGGTGCTAACGCGCGCGAAAATTGTTTTTACGGTATCAATAATTATCACACCCTCTGTTTAACGCGCGTCCACTGTCCGTGGTTTGTTTGAATAGCAACAGCGAATAATTAGAGCAATTTGCTTCGAGTTCGTTGCACGAGGTGCAGAGTTTAGAAGATTTCTGCTGCACGAGCAAACTGAAATATTCGAGTTTAGACTGTCGCTCGAAGCTTCAAGAGTTAAATATTTCATTCGAGCTACAATTAAATAGGTGACGGAAGGAAGAAATTATTGAAAAGTGCAAATGGTTTTCTGTCATCACGGACGATTATTTAGCTGTCATCGATCAAGAATAGAGAATGGAATCTCGAAAGGAAAAGGAGAATCCACAGAATTCCGTTGCAGGGGTTGGAACGTGGAACAATTGCAACCCCTGCTGCACGAGCTGCAGTTTCCAAGATTGTTCGACCGTCGGTTTGCAGATGGCGGCCGGTGGTTGGTATCCAGGACTTCCAGCCCCACCCATCTAATTTGAACGAGAACCTTTTCGGCTTTGTTGGCTGGCGACGTCAAAATTTTCAAAAATTAACCACTCCCCCGTTGTTCCTCCGCTTTTACTGTCTGGGAGTTTCGATTAAAATCCGAGATAGCGCATTAATGGAAATAAGTCCTGAATTAAATTAATAACAAAATCGGGAATTAAACCTTCGGAGTCGAAAAATTGAAATTTATATTATTGGAGAATCAGGAAAGATTAATATACGAGGGAGGTTATAGATTTCGTAAACAAAATTTCAAGATTTATGGAAATAATACCTTAACTCCCGATGACAAGAATGGAAGAGGATTAATAATTAACGCGAGGATTTCGACTGGAAAATTGTGGTTTTCCAACTATCGATCCGTTGATTTAACATGCACCGAAAGGAGACGGAGTAATAAGAACCAGACGGGGATTTTACGGTCGGTCCGAAGAAAATAAGCGCGGAAAATGTTTGCTTTCTTTTCATACATAATTTATGATCAAAATGAATAATCAACAGGATGGATATCAAACCTTGTTTCGATCGTTAGTAAACAACGAATGCGAAACGATAAAGGAGCGACACTTTTTATTTAAAATTCGGGCAGTGCATCGTTATGAAACCGTTTAAAATAGTAACGACCGAGTGGTCACAGCAGTTTGCCACTATTATACATATAAACGTGACTTATCATTTTCGCCGCGGGTAAAAGCATTCCTGGCGTTGCTAATTAAATAAAGTGACGAGTTTCGGTTGACTGGCAAACAACGGGATTACGCAGTGCTTGTAAGGTGTGTGCCTGGCGAGAACAGAGAATATATCCCTACGGGGGTGTCGTGAGCTAGGATCTGCGGAAATGGATATGATCCTTTTGTTTGCCGTGGAGATTTCGCTAACGGAAGGCGGAGGCGACAGAGAACAGCTGTAAAACGGATGTGGTTAATGTGACTTAAGAATTAAATTAACTCGCCTGAATTATGAAAATCTACTGGTAAACTATTGTTCAAAATTAATTTCGTTCGCGTAGGTCAAAAACCGTTAACTCGCCAATTAACGATCGAATTAATTTATTAAAAAGCTAACGACGTTCGATGCGTCGTTGGATTACAATTGATCAACGAAACCGTGAACCGATTGCCTGATGTCGCAAGGTTCCGGAGTACGGATTAATTCCAAGCTACACAGATTTCAAGTACGTCCCTAGACTTACCGCAGTTGCAAGTAGAACAACATTAAGTACCTAACCAGAATTCGTGGTGCGGGACTTCGAACTGCCTTAGGCTGCGTCAAACAGTTCCTCTTCTGCGTCGAAACTTCGAGGGTTGCTTTGAGGACTCCTGAATCGGAACGATTATGAGTTTACTGAACGTCGGACAGGCCAACGATCGACCACTTTTCCTTCGGATTTAACCCTTCAAACGCCTTCGATAAGCACGTACGAACGATGCTTTCAAATTATTTCACGCCCAGGTAAATTTACAAATTCATTATGCACCTCTCGATGTCCCATAATTTACCCTCCCGGCCCTTTCACGTTTTCAACGTTATAAATCAATTCATTTCGAAATTGCTCGTGTCAGTCTAACATTCAATTACAATAGAGAGTTTCATTTGAGAAATTGATCACCTAGCATTTCGTGATTAAAAAAACGATACTCGATTCGTGGACAGCGCTTGTCCCAGTCAATCGATCAATGTTTATGAAACGAATTTCATCTCGATCTATTATCGAAACTATTTCGGATGTACATACGCGAAACAGACACGTTCAAAATTCATCTGCCGCGTAGAAGTTGCGTTTTTATGAAGCGCGTTTCTTGCGAAACCGCTTGCGCGAGGTTGACACAAGATTCTTAAGTACACGAGTATAAAAAATGTTCGCTTTTTCTGTTTTAAACGACTCGGTAGAATTTTAATGCGTTCCGCGTGCGAGGTCATAATAATTGGACAGGGAATATTAAAGGTGCTAACGGTATTTTCCAGGATCCAGCCGTGTCACGCTGGTTGTCGACACAGCAACGAGACGCGAAAGAAAATTCCGTCTAGCGTGGTCCTTTTTCCGCGGCGCGGATCACGAGGAAAAAGTGTACCGTAAGCGTTTATTCCGGTCGAGCCGGCCACGAAGCCGTAATTCACGTGAGCGAGTCGTCAGTCCAACGTGGTTATTATCAAGAGAAATTACTTTCAGCCGGAAGAATCACGCTCGCGTTACCGCCAGGTGCGTGTACACATTTTGGGGTAAGTTAATACGCCTAGTAAATTAGCCTGGCGCCGAGGGAAAGAGAACAAAATTTTCTCTTTCCCAGATTTTTCATACTTTTTCCCGCGTTCTTTCTGCTTCCACTTCGTTATTTTTTCTTTGTCTTTGGACGAGAAATGGTATTACGAAATGGGTCGTTTTCAGCGAGATCGCGGCCCAAAAGAGAACCTTGCGATAACGCACGCCCTATTTCGGTTTCTCTTCTTTCGCTTATACGCGTATCCACCCATTTTTTAATCCTCCGCGTTGTAATTACTTTTCTAGTTTGCTTTAGCTTTGATTTTTCTATGGTAACTAACGGATTTCGAAACGTACATAGATTTTATGACTCGGTACACTGTCATTACGAAGTGCGTTTTCGTTCGATTTACAACATTCGCAATGTTTTAAATACTTATTCGCTGAAATCACTCGATAATTCGGTGAACGCTTTAATTACAAATTCGATTACATACTTGCGAATAATAGGTTAATCATTCATGCTAATTTTCTGTATTGCAACAAGTCGTTTGTCAATTGATCTTGTCTTTACAACGACTAGTCTTGACAATTTCGTCCGGAATAACTCGAACAGCTACTCGAATTCTCGTTCAAATATTTCCATCGGAGAGGAAAATTCCTTCCTAATTGTCTGATATTTCCTTCGCCCTCCATAAAATTCCTTAAATTTACATTTTGTACCAAAAATTTATCGCCCAAACGAGATTTCAAAGAAGAACACGCTTGTTTACTGTGTGCGAGCAGAAAGAACTCGAAGGGTAAATTTGGTAAAAGAAGGAAAAAAGAGGGGATTGCGAGTCCAATGGCGACGAAACGCGTTTACTCGACCTCAATTCCCGTTGGCCAGTTCAAGGGGGGGTTGAAATCGGGGTTTCACTTGTATCCTCACCATCTGCAGCCACCAGCACTTCTGTACATACTTGGTTAAAGGGCTGACAAAGCTAATTCTGTAAAGTGTGCGTCTGGGACTGGACGTGTTAAACGGGTAACGGACGTGGAAGAAGAGGGTAGGTTTGGTCCACTCAGAGGGCTTACGGTGCGGGTACGGGGAAAAGAGAGTTATTCTGGAAAATTTGGGATTGAACCTGTCGCCAGAAATGGAGAGGGAATCCTGAAATATGCAATCCACCGGTTGTTTGCAGGAGACGCTTGAGAAATCGTCTATGTCACGATTTAGACGCGCAAGGGATGTTTCGTGAATTGACAATCTTTAGACGATCGTGGCTCAAAAAGAATTTCAACGATATTTTATTTTGTCAACTTTCATATTCTCCATATATTAAGCATATCGTTTATTCGAAGGGAAAGTTTGACTAACAGAGAGGCGAAGTAAAATGTTTTAATTCGATGTCTGACTTTGGAGAGGCCACGAATTCTGGTAAATATCCGTAGTCCAATAACGAAGACTGTCGATTTCGAGATGACGGATTTAACGATCATTTCTCGTTTCTAATTGTAAGAGAAAAATCTCCAGAGAGATATATCGGATTAAGAGCTGACGAGGGTAATACTG